GTTAAAGCTTGACATGATTTGGTCTTTTACTTAAGAAGATGTTTGTCCTCCTGTGTTGTCTTATTTCCTTATCTTTCTTTCAGGTGTAATATCTACCAATGGTTGTACATGACAGAGACCTCCTCCACCTCTTTGCTGTCTTACTAGTCAATCCTTCTGATCAGGTCCTTTCCTAAATAGTGGTAAGTTTTACAGTTCAGTGTACGTTAATTTAATAACTTAATGCTTTACCGCTGTTGAATAAATCCTATATTGCTAGTCATTTTATTAAAACTACGATTTGTAAACTTTTTGATTCCAATTACAATAATCTTTTTGTTATAATTGTAAAACATATCTTAACATCCATCAGCAATCAATACAACAAATCATCCAACACTAAATAGAAGAAATCTGGACATATTTCTTTTGATACAGCAGCATGTTTTAGGACTGCTCATTGATGCCATCAAGAGCCATTGAGTCTACCTTTTGTAGTCGGCCTCTCAGAATGTTTATCATTTATTTGTATTTTAACATTCCTATAATAATTAGTTTTTTTATTGTTTTGTTCTTTATTTTTGTTATACTAATATTATTGTTGTTACTATTATTAATAATGTCTTCTTTGTTTTCTTTATTCATCGCTGCAGAAAGGATCATGCCAGCCCACATCAAACACCTGATCAAGAGCACTGCTGCAGATACCTGTGTGATATTCCACTCTGACTGGAACCCTCAAAATGACCTGCAGGTACAATATATATATATATATATATATATATCTGCTCTGTCCGTCCTAAAGATAGTTCAATAGGGCTACAACAACAACAACAGTCTTTCCGTTTATTCCCTCGGTTCTTTAAGTGTATATTTTCCCATTTAATGCTTAAAAACGTTGAACAGCAGCTGCACATGATGCTCTTTTGACCCCTCTTTTAATTTTGTATTTCAGGCTCAAGCTCGGTGTCATCGTTTTGGCCAGCCTAAGGCGGTGAAGGTGTACCGTCTGATCACTAGAAACTATGAGAGGGAAATGCTGGATAAAGCTAGTCTGAAGCTCGGGCTGGACCGTCCCGTCCTGCAGAGCATGAGTGGCAACAACAACGGGGTGAGAAAAAGAAAATCTGTCATTTTTCTAGATGCCAAGTAATTTTTGGGTCAGTCGCTGTTGCAGTACGCTTAGTTTATTTTCAAAAAGAGTTTTCTAAATCCACTTGTGTAAATGTCTCTCTGCGTCGCCTTTAGCCGGTCCAGCAGTTCTCCAAGAAGGAGATCGAGGACCTGCTGAGGAAAGGAGCCTACGCCGCCATCATGGACGAGAACGACGAAGGCAATCGCTTCTGCTAGGAGGACATCGACCAGATCCTGCAGCGAAGAGCCACCATCAACACCATCACCAGGTATGTTCTTAGCAGCACTAGCCACTTGCGCTTTGTGTTGGTAACCAAGTACTTGGTTATTTGAAATGTAATATTGATGATGTAATAATTAAAACTAGGGATGGGTACCGAGCCCCAGTATTAACGGGGCCCCGGGGCTAAATTATTAAAGACCGTGGTACCGTTAACGTCCAACGTTATCAATCTTTTTATCGTTACGGGAGACATTTAAAAAATAGATGTCATATGTATTATATCTACATAAACATTATATCGCAGTCTTACTGCAACTCCGTTTCTAATATGCAATAAGACTACAAAGTGCGTCTATGATTTATTTTCGATCTTTCCAATCCAGACGAGATCTCTCTCCCCTGTCGGTGTGCGAGGGGGTGGGGCAGTTTACACACAGAACCTGCTACATGCATGCAACACACATACACACACACACACACACACACACACACACACACACACACACACACACACACACACACACACATGGCGGAGAGAACTAAGCGCCCCGAGGGTAGTTATGTTACCCGTCTTGAGCATGGATGTTTAATAAGAACTGGATACAGCATCGGAGGAGGGGCCTCGTTCTTTCCTATGAGAGCTGCTCATTGGCGCATGAAGTCAAAATGGCCCAACTTTTGAGAGAGCGAAACGTCACAGATTACCCGTCATGCCTGGCTGTCAGAGCAGAATAACCCGTTTGTGCGCTCACAGAGCATGCGCCCCTTAAGCCCCGCCCCCCGAGCACACACTCTCGGCTCACTAGAAAGAATGGAGAGAGAGAATAAATCTAGATTCGGCTTTTAGTGCATTTTACAACTTTAAGAACTTAATGATTCTAGGGCTATACAATAGTTCATACTGGGTAGTTTATTTAGTTTCAAAAAAAGTATCCACCGAGTTACAGACGTCTCTTTCCCAATGTTAGTCAATGGGGAAAAGTATTTCTGGGCCGGTCGACGTCACAGACTGATAAGGAAATTGTAGTACCGCCGTTTGGACACAACGAATATTTTCCTCAGAGTCCGGCACACTTCCTGGGGGCTTGGTCTTGAGGTGGAAAATGCTCGTTGCCAATAGTGCAATAAGAATTTAGCATGTAAGGGCGGTAACACGAGCTATTTGTCTAAACATTTAGCAAAAGTGCACCACATTCAGACGGAGGAAAGCACCGGGTTCGACTGTCTTTCTAGTAGCTCTGTAGCCCCATCCACGAGTAACGTTTCCACGTCAGGTATATATTATGTATGCTAGCAGCAACACACAGAGTTAACTCAATGATACAAACATGGGTTAATGATTAGAGGTAACTGAGTTATTTATTTTGTTAAAGTTACAGCTATTCTGTTTGCAGTTCTATCATCACATAATTGAATAAGATTTGTTAAAACATTGTTGTTTCTTATTTTCAGTTTGCTTCAAGCAGTGGCTGCACAAGAAAGACGTGGAGGACCAAGAAATGCTGGCCAGATTGGCAAAGACCGGAAGATACATCACAGAGAAGATAATGGGTATTAACAAGAAAAATAAAAAAAATGTTTATAATTTCTTTGTTGCTGTTTACATTTTGAATTATATTTGTTATTTTTAAATCAAATGCATCTTTTTTAGATGATATATTTATTTAGATGTAGGTTTTTTTTGTAATATTATTGTATTAAGTATAATTTATTAAATAAAAATACTGTTATGAACACTATACAATGTCTTTATTTTGATAGTTACCAGAATACATTGTATATTTAATACTAACATAAGCTGGTGATAGATAAATGCTGGTCTGCTGGTATGCCAGCAGACAAATATTTATAAAGACAGGGTATGGCTGGAGTAGGCTACACCCATACCAGGAAATGGCTTAGCCCCACCATGAAAAATGATGTTAAACTAAGCAAAATAAAGTCCGCCAACTCGCGCCGAGAATTGCACAGACAGCAGTTAGTAAGATTGATTTCAGCAGCCACTTGTCTGGAAATACGGAAGACCAGAAACGGTTTTGAAAACTTTTGTCACGTAGTGATCGTCTTCCCAATAGAACATCTTTGATAATGTCTTCTGGCCAATCAGAATCAAGATAACGGCGTGGTGTTGTTGCAGGAAGTCCCGACGGAGAATACTTTAGCTGTAGTACAGGGGTGCACATAACTGGTACGCAGGTGATGTGCGTAATCTGAAATGCGTACCGTCACTTGTGTCACAAAGCACATTTGCGTACCGACGTATTTGTGAAGCTTTTCCAGAAGGCGGTTAGATCACCGGACGACAGAGTCGGTCTCCGTGTGCACAGACAGGGCTGCTGTTAACGTCTGTCTGTACAACGGAATTGTGCCAACATTACGCCAACCGGCTGCGGAGGGAGACTCCTCCCTTCACTGGAGAACTGCGCTAAAACAGCTGATCACAACGTTCACACTCTGTGGTCACGAAGTACTCCACTCCACTAGCGCCCCCCGTCGACTTTCCTGAAGTTTCTAAGTAAGATAGAAATCAATACGTAATGAATTAAGACCCCACGGTTTGATGATTGATAGGTGCTCTCTTTCATTTTGACACACAGACATTTTTTACAATAAACATGTTAAATGGATATATCCGCCTTCTTTCATTTATCTTTCCATTCCCACAACAATATACATAAAGAAATGACATATTTTGGACATAGTTCGAATGGTGATTAATCATGATTAATTAATTTTTAAGCTGTGATTAATCTGATTAAAAATTGTAATCGTTTGACAGCCCTAATTTATTTATTTTTGGATTAGATCATAGATATGTCCATGAGTTAAGAGATGGAATGATATGATGATTCACACTCATGTACAGTAGGTGGCGGTATGCACCTTAAAGTTGTTTGCAATCCGCCAAAAAACCGAGAGAAGAAGAAGTCAACTGGTTTGCCAACAGACAATTTTCACCGAAGAAGAGGAAGCGAACATTTCTGGCGGGTGAAATTTAGAGTATCAGATTACATGCGATGTCTGACTCTGAGAATTTAGTAGTTTGCCTTATAGTCCTTCTCCTCCATTTTCTTCCTCTTCTCGAGTAGTCAGTGTGGTGCTGTTGCTTTGGTCTGGGTCTCTGGACCTGTGAGCTAACCATGCCCCGTTCATTTGCATATAAGGAATGGAAATGTCTCATCATGAAATACAAGTCACATGAAATAAGCCATTATGAAATACGAGTCTCTTGAAATAAAGAAACGCGTCATTATGAAATACAAGTCATCTGAAATAAATAAATATGTCATTATGAAATACGAGTCTCTTGAAATAAATAAATGTGTCATTATGAAATACAAGTCTCTTGAAATAAATAAATGTGTCATTATGAAATACAAGTCTCTTGAAATAAATAAATGTGTCATTATGAAATAAAAGTCCCATGAAATAAATAAATGTGTATTTAAATGTACATGTATACATATTTATTTTATAATTTATTTATTTTATAATTTATTTCATAGGCATATTTATATATATATGTATTTATTTAATTATTTATGTATATATTTATTTATTTAATATTGGCTTAAATGGCATTCCATACAGGAAGTCCCCTCCCCTCCCCTCACAGTGTGTTCACCTGCGCTCCGGCTCCCTGGTTAGTTTGGGGCTTTCCACGCCTCTTCCAAACAGGAGACACGGAGCGGAGCTCACACATCATCCCGCCACTATCCCTCCGCCGAGAGAATGGACTCCACCGCTGTGCTGCTGCTGCTCACCGTGACCGCCGGAACTCTGCTCCACGGTAAGGCTCGCTGATACTGTGGTAGAATAGGCTTCAGAACAGTGTGGACACGGTATGCTGCTGTGGTTTCACCGAGGTATTCAGCATACTGTAGCCTACTCTCCGGATGTGGCTGGACTTGTAACTTGCCGGTGAGCCTGAATAGTAACAGCATGTTAGAGTAGAGAAGGCACCAGAAGGCTCTGATGGGAGGACTGTTCCAGTGTAACGCATTCAGGCCCGAGACGGGTTCCCGGAACTTTGGGAAAGTCCTCATTTGTTAACATGGATTTCCCCTTAATACAGCCACTTACCATTTAAAATTAGATAACAATACGTTTAGGCGAACAGAACGGGTAGCAATGCATTCATAGAGCTCTGCCGGCCTTAATGCTAAATAAACGTGCAATTAACAGGTGGGTGAACATAATACAGGTGGCTTTATCATTCCCTGTGCGCCAACCCTCCTGCTAAACGGTCATTTGGTGTCATGGAGCAGGTTCGAACACTAGGGTGAAATGTGGTTACTGCTATCAGGGCCGTATCCAGGATTTCCTAAATACCCGAGGTCGAAACCATTCTAGGGGGGGTTCGGCTTTTTAAAAAAAATTTGTTTTGTTTGCTTCTCAAAAGAGAAGAAAAATGTAAGCAAATTGTGTTTTATACAATTGTATGTTATTATGACATCATAACTGCAATAGATGTATGTTGTTTAAAAAGTATGCCTATTGTAAATGAAGACTAAGTTATAGATAGATAGATGGGGTTATTAAAGGAATGCTCCACTCATTAGATAATTAATCAAAACTTCAGTATTTAGTGAAACATTATGTTTAAACCATACCCTGAAGAAATCAGCGATATTCCCCGGTAAATAATGATTTTATAGCTCTTTTTTATCAAAACCTGTATATTCTGTCAGGCCGCTGCCATTTTGCCCATTTTCAGTAGTCACGTGATGGTCGTGACGTCATCCATGCGTTCACTTTGTAAACACACGAAAACATGGCAAAGTTTTGAGCAATATGAATAGATTGGAAGGGGGAATTCAGCCATACAGGTTCGAGCCTACTTAGTACTACTTAGTAGATACTAGGGCTGTGCAATTAATCGTATTTTAATCACGATTATGGCTTGCGACGATTATGAAAACAGCATAATTGACAAAATACGATTATTTAGCTGGGTGCGCTTTCGCCCCTCCCTAAAAGCCCACTCGGCCACGTGGGAGTGACATGTGTTGTGAGTGTTCAGCGCAAGCGAAGATGTCAGAACAAGAGCAGCAACTCGTTAAAAAGAAGGGTCAAACTATTTCCACTATTTGGAAGTACTTTGGCTTTCCGACGTGGAGCAAAACAAAGTACAGTGCAGGATTTGTTACCAGGTTGTGTTGGCACCACACGCTAACACAACCAATCTCTTTAATCATCTGAAATACAACCACAAAGTGCAATACGACCGGGCAGTAATACAACAAAAAGCAGATGCCCGCTTGACTTCATCCACCACATCATCACAGTCATCGATTCAGGACGCATTGTACAGAGCAACGGCCTACGCGACGAGCTCGCAGAGACACAGAGATATTACAGGTGCCATTACATTTCACATCGCTAAAGATATGTGCCCAGTTAGCACTGTTAGCAACCAGGGCTTTAAGCAACTTGTCAACACGTTGGACAAGCGTTACGCGATGCCGTCTCGGTATTATTTCAGCAGGTCTGCGCTGCCTGCGCTATATGACAAATGCAGTGGGGAAGTTGAGAGAGATGTGGCTTCAGCTGACTACTTTGCGACCACAACAGACCTATGGTCTAACCCAGGGGTGCCCAACCAGTCGATCACGAGATGTGTCTAAAAATAGAACAACAATATTCAGTTTTATCGTTAATGTCCTGTAACATAATCTTCCTGTGCCAGAATAATGCACTTGAACGCATCAAAGCTTTGTGATTGGCCGGCGTCACCCCATGTGTCGGGTGTGGCTGAGGGTCTTCAGTACAGGTGGCAATATCGTCACCTGCCTGCACGGTTCTTATTATACATCCATGGCCTGCGCTCATCTCTGAAACCAGACCATGTAAACAGGCTGGTGTTTCTTGCAAAAAATCTTTAAGAGATGACATGAGCAGCCCTACCAGCATTTGCCATGGTGGCCAACATTTTTATTTGGTCTTAAATTGTAGTTCAACATTTATTTCCTGTTACTTTTGGACCATGACGGTTGGCCAGCCTTCAACGTTTAACTGAGTGGAATATGTTGAATATGTTTTACCAACATGTTGGCTATATGTTAAGGAGTTTTCAGGTTGTGACAGTGCACTGCATCATATTTGATTTAATTTATTTTGGTCTAATTTATTTTTATTTATCATATTAATAATATATGTTTAGTATGGTTTTGGAAGTGCGCTCCAACATATTTGTTGATCTTGTTTATTGGTAAAATATTATTTGTTTTAAAGTTCAATAAATGGTCAATGAATAATCGTCAAAATAATCGTGATATCAATTATTGACCCAAATAATCGTGATTATGATTTTTGCCATAATCGCACAGCCCTAGTAGATACAATGATTTTGATTACTAGATATGTATGCATGTAGTACCACCCTTGCTAGCGATTCCCTCTCTAGTTTAGCATACTCAGCCTCGTTGTCCCTGGCCCTAGAACCACGATTTTATGGGGACGGAAAAACTGGGGGGAAATACCCACTAGCCGGTACTACGCTATATGGAAAGGCCACCAAAAACTGGCCTGGCCTGGACGATAAAGGACGTTTAAACGGGGCTACCCGCTGCAATGGAAATGCGCCATAACATACCTTATTCTTACTCCGAGCACTACTTCTGGTCCTCCGTCGCTTCACACTTGCAGAGGGCGATTTCTCAACTGGCCGAACTGGTGTCCTGGTCGGTGATGACACCAGAAAGACCGATGGTACTGCATCTCCATTAAGTAATGGTTGTTCAATAAATCCCATGTTATGTTTTATCATACTCTCAGAGTAGTCGTCCGGAAACTTGAAATGTTCGCTGCATACATGCACCTGTGGATCTTTCGGTTCGGGCCGGCCACATTTCGCTAGCCACTGCCTCCGAACGTACTTCCTACGTTTACCTTTTGGCAACAGATGGAACCGAGCATTCCGTGGATTGTTCCTATCAGAATTGTGGCAATGTTTCGCGATACAATGAGGCATATTTGAAGAGAGTAACTACAGTAAATAACATGAACATCAACGTGTCCTCGAAACCAAACGCATGGTTTACGTCACGTCCGGTAAAATGGCGCCGCCCACAGTGTTGATGTTATTTCGGTAATTAATCAGTTTAAAATCACTGATAATGTCATCGGATTAAAAAAAAAAAAAGAGAGACTGGCAGAGACTGGTCTGTTTTATCGGATGATAATTATTTAAAAATGAGTGTCATGAGCATACCATTCCTTTAAGCCTATATTATTTTGTGTGACTGTAGTACAGTCACTGTACCTGCAGTTCCTCCCTGACTTCCATCACTTTCTCTCTCTCTCTTTCTCTCTGCCTGTCCTGTCTCTTCCGTACCAAAGCTGAGCTTCGACTGACGTAGTCTTTTCATTAAATCTGAGTCAGTGTAAAAAGAAAACCACAATGTTATATCTTCAATGTTTTACTCAAATTGAAATGAAAGAAAAGCATTACAACGTTTGTTAAAAGGTAATCCTTCTGACATTGGATGAATGTAATTAACTTTAGCTCTCTAGCTAGTTTATTCACGCAATTTAAACCAAAGTATAGCCTATAGCTGCAATATAAGTTAGTGTGCATGTTGTCGGACGTCCACTGACTAACGTAGAGCGTTCACACAGGATCTGCTGGTCATATAATGTCCTGATGAACAGAAACACAAGCAGCCCGCTGGACTCAGATCTCTAGATACCTCATCACTCCTTCGCTGCTCCGGTACAAGTCCGGGCTGCGGAGGTTTGTTGATACATGTCGTCTTCTTCTGTTTGCTTTAACCGAGGCTACGTAGTTATGCAGCGCCCCCATGGTCAGTAAATGGAAGTACTACAAAGAACCCCGTTTTGTGCCGTTATTTCACAAGTTTAGTTATACACAGCTCGGAAAATATTACCGAGGTCCGGACCTCGTGACCTCAATGGTGGATACGGCCCTGACTGCTATCAGATGTTTGTAATTGAGGCTGGGGTTTTAAACCTCTCTGTCTTGTATTTGGAATGAAGATAGGCACTCTTTGTTCTGATGTGGTAAAATATAACATCTAATAAGTAAAGTAGTCTATTTAGAAAGCAACTGAATATTCGTTATACAGAAGTATTACAGAAAGCCTAGCACTGTATAATCTCTGATGCTGATGGTGAATGTTTTGTTAGGGAGAAAACAGGGGCTGCGGTTTGAGCCCAAACACTTTCACATTGTTGGCACCGCTCACATGTGTGGTGTCACTCACAGGATAAATCAGAATAAATATCTCCCTGCTCTTATCTGAGAGTGTGTCCCTCTGCACAGAGCTGCTCATTGTCCAGCGCCTGTCTCTCTCTCTCTCTCTCTCTCTCTCTCTCTCTCTCTCTCTCTCTCTCTCTCTCTCTCTCTCTCTCTCTCTCTCTCTCTCTCTCTCTCTCTCGTGTGTGATGGGGTGCTTGACACTTGACGCCAGGGTCACCTTCTCCATCACTTGATGCTATCTGGCCTGTCTCCGGAGCAGTGGCTCCACAGGAGGAGGGACCCAATCTATGTTTTTGTTTTGGGGGGGGTCACATTTCAGCCATGATAAAATCCATATTTGGCCTCCACATAATGACAGATACTAGCACAAGAGTAAGCAGCTGAAGTCAGTTTGTAGCTTGATCTGCAGCATTCCTCACATCAAAGAGGGAAGCTTTCAAAGAGAGTTGAGGCTCAGAGTCCAGGGGGGGTGGGGGAGGGGGGGCTGTCCAGGCTGACTGGGGGTGGGTGAGACCTGCCCACATGTGAGGGGATCCAGCAGAGTATGAATTGTGGTTGGAAAGGTTATG